CGCCCGGGCCCGCACGACTTGCTGTCTGGCGGCACCGCGGACACCTCTGCTCCGCGGTGATTGGCCAGCTGCGGGGTCCTCACGTTCGTCCAATATGGCGGCGCCCAGTGGCGGTGTGAACTGTGAAGAGTTCGCCGAGTTCCAGGTGATGAGGTTTTTCCTCACGTGGCAAGCTTGTCCAGCCTTTTGTCCCCAGATCCTAGTCCGTGCTTTGGCCTGGGAGGGATAGACCGACTGTGGAGGAAGCAGGCGGTTCGGCAGGTTTTAGGAGAGCCTGTGGAGGTCATGGGGGCTGGGGGTGGCCTTGGGAAGCGCAGGTGCTCAGGGCAGGGAGCGGTCTGAGGCCCTCCAGGTCAGTCTGGAGTGGTAAAGCCGAGCTCGGAAGCAGTGGGTAGGGATTTTAACAGTTCAGCAGGTCCCTGAACTTCGTTCCCAGCTTCTGCAATTCCTTTCTTACTTCTAAACCGACGCTTTTTTGTGGGAGAGAAAGAAGTGAAAGAGACCTCGTGTACTTGATTGGAAAAAAAAAAAGATTGGCGTAGGGTCCTGTTTTGGTGAGACAGAATATTTGGAACCTTGGGTTCGTTCTAATACTTGGTCTGTGCTACTGCCTTCTTGATCCCGAGAGAAGGTGTAACACTTAAGAAAAACAACGTGTCTTTTTGTACTAAAAATATCAAAGGTCCAAGACTTAATACTCACCCAAGAATTCAAGAATAACGATCCTGATGTTGATCAGTTCGCAGTGGAGGTCCTGCTATTAAATTAGAGCTGAATTAAAAAGAAAAGCATGACCTTTAAAATGTATTTTTAGTTAAAGATAGTGAAAATTCTTTTCACATGTCTTTTCCCTATCAGTAGTACCTCAATACTTTTGACTAGTTTGTAGGTAGTGGTATTCATAAAGACAGCCTCATTAAATCGATTTGTTTGACAAATAATTTGGCCAAAAGTTAAAAAAAAAAAAAATCTATTAGCGGCAGGTTTGTGCACCACATCTGTGTCGAGTCACCAGAGACCAAAAGAGGGCATTGTATCCTCTGGACAGAAGTTAGAAACAATTGTGAGCTGTCCTTTGGGTGCTAGGAATTGAACCTGAGTCCTCTGCAAGAAAAGACAGGCAGGTACTCTTATCCACTGAGCCATCTCTCCAGTCCCTTGGCCAAAAGATTTAATAATGAGTATCTGAGCTAAAAAGCTAAGGACCTGGTTACCCAGAGCAAGCCTTACCATATCTTCCAACCCCCTTGTAAAACAGGCATTCATTTTTGCTTCCACTCCTTCACAGACAGGACCAAAAACATACATGAAGATGCTGTAATAAAATAAAACACCATTAAATGTATGGCACTTAAACTTCGATGACTTTGGTAAAATTATAAGACACGGTTGACTAGAATTCTCACAAATTATTAATCAAAATTCTGAAGATCTGTTAGATCTGTTTGTGTGTATGTATCCTAACCGTGGAAAGTGCTGCAATGAATACCAGGGGAAATAAACTGAAAGTCATGTCTCTTTTTTTTATTGTAAATATTAGGATTTTACCTCATAATTACGAGATGTTGAAAGAATTGTACTGTGAATGTTCATGTACCTGCCATCTAAAGTCTGCAGTCAGTGATTTGCGATCTCTGCTCTGACTGTATTCTCCATATCCACGTCTCAATTTATTAGTTCACCTTTTAATTTGAGAAGGGGTTTTAAAGTCAGTTGCAAAACTAAAGAGTACTTCTCAATATGCTGCATAGAGTTCAGGCTTTGTTTACTGTTTTGGAGGGATATATCTTGTATATGGTGTAGTGTACAGGAATTTACAAATGCTCCTAGTTTGATGTTGACATTCTTGCAAAGCAAACTATGTCAACATCAAAGTGGATGCTTTCATCTTCAAAAGTTTTCTCATGGCAGTCCCTGTCACTTTCTGTCAAGTTCCAACTACTAGGAATTCTGATTTTGTTTTTACACGGCTGGGTATTTTTAAGCTTAAAAGATTTTTAAAGAGTTTTAAGCTTTTTGTGTTTCTCCCCATTGTAGCACTCCCAGAAAATACTGTGTTTGCAAAGTGAAATATAATCCAAAAAAGAAATTTTAAAATTGCATGCTTCAAATCTCATTTTAACATACACTCAACAACTTACTGGGTACTTTTTCATCCTGTTCAGGCTGCCATACCTGCAGACTCAGTGTCTTAAACAACAGAACTATAGTTTCCTGAAGTTTGGAAAGCTAGAAGTCCAAGATTAGGGTCCTGTTGGGGTTGACTTGTGGTGAAGTCTTTGTTCCTAGCTTACAGGCTGTCTTCTCACCTTGTCTTCACACCTTTTCTCTGTGTTTGTGCAGTTGGAGCAGGGCCACTTAGGTCTCGTCTTCCAAGAAGGACCCCAGTTGTGGTAGATTAGGATTCTTGCCCTGTTGATTTCCATATGTGTGTGTGTTTGTATTTGACAAGATCTCACTATGTTGTGGAGGCTGGCCCTAATAGTCCCGGCTCAAGAAATTCTGCCACAGTCTCTCAAGTAGCTGAAACAACTGTGTGCCTGGTTGTGACCTTCATTTAACTTTCTTTCCTGAAAGCCCTGTCTACAAGGACTTAGGGCTTTAGCATGTACCCTAGGATACACAATGTAGCCCCTGCCAGGTATCTGCCAGCTACCAGGCTCTGGGAGATACCATGGTGAACAGGGTATAAAATGAGCTTTAGGTGAGGATTAAAACATGTAGAAGAGACTGGAGTTACGAATAAAATGCATAAAAGCTCAGAAAGAAATCAAGAGGTCATGAGTCTTCCATAATACCAGTTGACTTCTAGGCAGAGGTAATAGCACACAGGCAAAACAGTTCCTGTACAGTCATGTATTGCTTAATAAAGGGATTATGTTCTGAGAAATGTGCTACAGGTGATTTTATGTTGTGCAAATATGAACAGTAATTAAACCTTATCTAGGTTTAAGCCAGTCCTTGTCATGGCTTCTTGGTGCAATTGGGATTCAGTAAACAGGGAATCTCTGAAGTATAAGTAGAAGGGAAGTATGCTAAAGTAATGATGGAGAGTGTAGCACAATAAATACGCAAACCATTAACAGTCATTTATTACCATTGTCAAGTATTACACTCTGTACATGATGATAGTTGATATTCCACACTTGGCATTGTGATTTTCATATAATACATGGCTTGTGGGAGGACCTATACCCATCCATGCAGGGTACCTCCCTTCAAACTTTTTAAAAAGCAAATTAAATTCTAAATAACTTACAAAGTAGATTTTAATAGGGATTTTTCATAATTCTTAGTTTGAGTTATCCCTTCCCTCTACCTTCTCTACCTGCCCTCTGTCCTTCTCTCCCCCTCTACTCTGATAATCATGTTGTTCTACTGTCTCACCTTCCCTAAGGCCTTTTTCCCTTCTCTCTCATGTTCCCTTTCTAGCTTCCTGGCCTCTTCAGGCACCCTAGGTTAAACACTTTGGAGTAAGATTTGAAGCTAGGATCTGCATATAAGAGGGAATACCTGCTCTTTGTCAGAGGCGTTTCTTGATCTCCTGCCCGAAATAGCCCTGAACCCCAGCTTGACCACAGTTCACTTCACTGTACTTTCCCTTTTTCACAGTACCTCTGTGTCTGTCAGCAACTGCTGTCTGAATAATACAGTGAGGTAGTGAAAGGAGGAGCTCTGCTCCTCTACCTTACACCATTCGAAGAACGTTGCCGAGAGCTTTCCTGGCCATGGGAAACTATCCAAGAAGTACAACTGAAACTTGGGCTCAGAAGATAAGTTCACTGTGCACAGAGGAAAAGAAGAACTTGAAAGAGATTTTTTAAAGGGGGTATGGAAATGAAGCAGTCATGTTGTAGAAGGTTAGGTTGGCTCTGTCTGCTATATTTTCCCCCTCCTAGAGATAGGATCTTGCTATGTAGCTCTTGATGTCCTCCAACTCATGATTCTCCTGTCTCAGCCTCCTGAGTGCTAAGATCACAGGTTTGTGCCACCACACCTAGCCTTTTCTGTCCTGTGACTCAACAAGTGCTGTCATCATTTGTTTGGAATTTACTGCTCATGGGCATTATATATCCTACATTATATGGCATACTATTTAAAATGCTAGTTGCCCAGGGAATATTTTGAGATTGTCCCTAAAACCATACGGACTTCTTATGTCTCCTAAGAATTATGGTTTGCAAAGAATACTATCAACAAATGTAGTTACAGGGAAAGGAGACAAGATAATGAATTTTGTGTTATTTGCCTGTTTTGCTTGTGTTTTGTTTTCATTAAGTTTATTTATGGGGAAGGGAATGCATGAGCAGTGGTATTCAAGTGAGTGGAGGTCAGGGGACAACCTGTGGCTTTCTCTTTCTACCATGTGGGAGTTGAACTCAGGTCATCAGGCTTGGCAGTAAGTGCCTTTATCTGTTGGACTTTCTCACAAGTCCTTGCCTGTCATTTATTAGTCTAAATTATGGACATTTGAAATTGTTTTATTTCTGTATTGAGATCATGATCAGGTCATTAAAATATTCAGCACTTTAAGGTGAATGAAGTGGTGGAGCAGAATTTAGAGCACATGCTCTGCTTAAGTGGTTACAGTTGGTAACAGGTTTGACTCCTCCACAGACATTATAGAACTATTCAAAATGCCTTAAAGGAAGCTGGACTAGGTTAGTGATGGAGCACTTGCCTCTCATGCTTGAGGACCTGGGTTTGATTCCCAGCACTGGGTGTGGATTCTCCAAGGCATTTTTAGTAACACGGGCAAAATAGTCACAGTATGGCATTCTTTAAAATGTTACTTCATAAAATGTATAAAAATAATAAGGAAACTTGTTAATGTATTACTAATGGTTAACTTTAGGTATTAAATATTTTTTCAAAATTTTCTACAAGTATGTGAGGGGGCAGAGTAAGTGAACCATTGAAATGGCCACTCTGGTATGATTAAGAGGAAGGTTTTTTTTATTATGGATAAGAGTGGTCATGGTCAGGGCTATTTGAGAGACAGAGGGAGAGAGAGGCAGAACATGAGAGCATAGCAGGAAGTTGTGGGGAGGAGCGAGTGAGAGAGAGAGAGTGTGTGTGTTTGTGTGTGTTTGTGTATGCTGGTTTTAAGGAGGATGGGAGGAAGGAACAGCCAGGAAGCTAGTGTGACCTTTGAGATGTATACTGAGCACTTGTGAGTAGGGACTGAGGGAGCCTGGAGGCCATTGTGCTTTCATACACAACATGTCTCTTCTGCCAGATGCGAGGGTCGGCAGAAGGAAGCCAGTTTCACAAGTTCCTGAGGAACACTGGTGTTTTAATGGCCAGAAATCCTAGTCCAGTTCGAGCTCATTTCTCCATACATGGACTGCCTGAGGTCTGACAGATGGTTACACTAATAAGGAGTTTTAACAAATGGGAGGGGGGATAGGAAAGTGTTGGTTTTGGTAATGGGTTTAATTTGACAAAGTAAAGAAATGGGGTGGTATGTTGAGGGAGATCCTCTAAGACATGGTAAGGTTAAACGCTAACTTGGAAGTTTTCACAGATAAGTGTGTTGTAGGTTAGTGAGATTGTTTTCTCAGAGGCTTTTTCAGTGATCCTGGGTTTTTATTTGGGGGGGGGGGAGTAGGAGATGTCACACTTTTAAGAATATATATAAAAAAGAGAGGTGTACATGCTTAGACACTCAGTCCTGAGGACAGTGTAGCTGGTCCTTTCTCTACTGAATGAGAAGAGCTGCCTCAGGATGTGGGGAAGGACTGTGCTGTGCAAATACTCAGCTCTCTGTTGTTCTCTCTCTTGGGTGTAATAGGCTTCTGGGCTGAAACCAAGGGCCTCATGCTGAGCAACATCTCCAGCCACTCGGCAGCAGTAAATAACTTGTGGTATATTTTTCTTTGGATTGGGTTTTTGTGAGTTGAAGACTTTGAAGGAAAGCAGAGCCTTGAGAAATGTGAACCAGGGTTACAAAGAAAAGCCAGAACTAATTCCTACTTTTTCAGTGAATTAAAGAGCCAAAGTATGTGTTTTTCTCTAGTAGCAAATTTGTTCTGTTTTTATCACAAAAATATCTACAGTCATAGGAGAAAGTCAAAGAACTGCAAGGTAAGGCTGGTGGTGTGCGGCTTCACTTCTGTGAGCTGACTAGTCCTGCCCTCGCGTCCCCTGGTGCCACATTTGCAAAGTTAGGTTAGAGCGGCGGCACAAGTGGTTTTGGAGAGTATGGTACAGTGGTTGGAGAGCCCTCTTTGCCTGTGTGCTGGATCTGGAAGACACAGTTTGCTAAGTACATGCCAGACAGTGGGATTCACTGCTGCGCTGCAGAACTAGACTGGAGTCCCCTGTTAGAGTCACCACTACATGTCCCGCCTGTCACCGTGTGGTAAACACGGAGATGTCTGAGTGTACTGTTGGGGCTGTTTTCCTCCTATGTAAAAGGCTTGTAAAATATCCAAACTCTTGTTTTCTTTTTGTTTAAATATTTAGCTTTGATCACTTAACACTTCATTGAGATTATATTCTTCTGTGTTTTTTTTTTTTTATTTTAAAAATATATAGGAATTACTCAAGGTGATGAGGACAATTGATGACAGAATAGTACATGAATTAAATACTACGGTTCCAACAGCTTCCTTTGCAGGGAAAATTGATGCCAGCCAAACCTGTAAACAACTTTATGAGTCTGTAAGTTTATCTCTTGAGCCTGTCTTTTGTATTTCTTTTATACCTTTCTTTGTAGACAAAATAAGAAGTTAACTTGTATCTAAACTGTGAAAAGCATATGATGTCTGTGTACACTTGAGTATGGGAGTACACTAGTTTTCAAATGATTTCTACAACTCCAGACATTGGTGTACGCACAAATCTGTGAAGAAATAGTTGTAAAGAATGGGAACAGGATTGTTTTGGTCTCTGCATTCATGGCCTTTTGCTTAAGTAGACAGTATGCAGAGATGATCACAGGGATCATGAAACAGTCAAGACTTTAGCAAGAATCAATTCCAAGAGGCCAAGCAGCTAAAGGCGGAGAGTAAAAGCCTTTCAGCCCTTTTATGTTTTCCCCCCATTATCAGGAAGGAGAGAGGAAGTGTATAGTCGAAGGGAAGAGAAAGCCATAGATGTTAATAAATCACCCTTCCTGATGCTTTGGCTTCTCCAGTGTAGAGTTGCTCATTACCTGCTTGAGTCCTCTTTGAATTTGCAAATGCAGAAGGAAATGATGGTACAGATGTACTATAGCTTAATGCCCCCCCATTAAATTGGAAATTAAAGTTCAAATGACACATGGTTTTTTATGCTTTCCCACCACAAGGTTACTGTGTGGACTTCTTGTCAGAAAAAAGGCATTATTGAAATCTGAAATGTAATTTTCAGGTGTGGAAAAAGTCATTTTGTGAACCAACTTACTCATATCATTTAAATTCAGATCACCACCTACTGGCATCTTAGTTCTTCCCCCCACCCCCATTATAGTATGTCATTCTGTCAAACAATCAGGTAAATCCTGTGGTTTTAGAAAATTACAAGGTGTGGTGTCTTATAAAGACTTAGTCATGGCAAGTTGGGGTGGGTCCAAGTCCTCACATACTGTGGGCTGTTTGATTGTTCATTTATGTCTTCAGGTGTAAGAACTAGAAATGTGTGGTCACTGTTGCTTTCCTCCCTGCTATTTGTATGATCTCTACTGTTCAGTTCTTCCCATTTTCAGACTTCTATTAGTATAGGGGTTGACAGTATCACGGTTAGCAGTATGGACTCCAGGGCTAGATCAAGTCTCACATCTGCTGCTTTCTATCCTAGGTTTGTGACTTGGCATTTTGTATAACCTCCCTTTACCTCAGTTTCATGGATTAGTGATGTACATAGAACAGTACTGTTTGATGTACTTGAGTATCCTTTCCCAAGTGGTCATTATTAGATCAAACAACTTTGTTCTGGATTTTGGGCCTGCAGAGTGCTCAGCCAACAAGAACCACTAAAACCTCTTCTTGAGTGTTGTCTCTTTGAAGGAGTCTGGAACATCCAACATTGCTGTTCACAGTCTCTCTGACTTATAGTGGCTCCTGGTCCAGTTTCTTTTGTAGCCAATGAAGGTATATTTGCATTCCCTAATGCTGACACTTCTTTACAGGAAAGGATATGGGAGCTAAAGTATGAATTTAGAAAGTTAGCCTCAAAAGGCTCCTCATAATAAAAAGTAAATAATTTCACTGAGCTCTCCTCAGATGTGACGGTAAGAGGAGCTTGAACCATAACCATTACTAAGCCTTGCTACCCAAGACAGATGGAGAAATGCTGTCTTTTGGGATTTGTTACTCTTAAGAAAGGGGTTATGAGAGTCATTCTGCCAGTTATCTTTGCAGTCAACACACACAGTTCATGCAGCCACTAATCTGTGCCTCAGGTTTGCTTTATCAACTCTTTAAATTTTTGACAAGGCCTCTGATTGCATAGTTAAATATAACAGTCTTTGTATTTCTGTATTGTAACTAAGATAATTCCCTCATCACTTAGTTCATAACATCTTTCCCTGGCTGGCAGCACAAGACTGAAGCCAACTAGAAAAGACAAGAAAGGAGAGAGATTAGCAGTGGTGGAAAGGGTGGATATAGGGTAGGGGAGCACGTGCAAGGACAGGTTCAGGAGACTGGAGAACAAGCCCAGCTGGGTACTTCAGGAAGAAGCAGGAGATACTGGTCTGGACTGTGGAAGGAGGAGCCTGGCTTTTCTTCTGTACGCTCTGAGGCTTCCCCTTTCATCTGCTGTTAGATGACTTAGACAATCCGAACAATGGTTTTCTCTTCCAGAGATTTTTAAAAATTATTTTAAAACTATTAAATTTCTCAAGGCTCATTTTTTTTTCCTAATACTAAAATGTAACAAATTAATGTGATTTCTCTACTTCTTTTCATTTTTTTGTTCTTTTAGTTGATGGCAGCTCATATCAGTAGGGACAAAGTTATAAAGAACTGTATAGCCCAGACCTCAGCCGTAGTAAACAGTCTTCGAGAAGCGAGAGAAAAGAATCTGGATGACTTGACGTTATTAAAGCAACTTAGAAAAGAGCAGACAAAGGTAAGCTGAGCACACTTTCCATTTTCAGTGCAAAGGTTTCCCAAATACAGCCTTTAAAATAGACTTTTAATGTACAAAACTTCAAGTAAGGTATGGTTATTAGTTTTTAAAAGATGACCAGGTCAGGGTTGAGAGAATGCGTTAGTGGATAAATTATTTGCTGTGCAAGTATGAGGACTGCAGTTTCAATTTTGAGAACCCATGTAAAAAGTTGGGTGGGGTGGGGCTGGAGATGGCTCAATGGTTAAGAGCACTGGCTGCTCTTTCAGAAGACCTAGGTTTGATTCCTAGCACTGACATGCAGGCTCATAGCTATAACTCCAGTTCTAAAGAATCCGATCTCCCTTGCTGGCCTCTGTGGATACCAGGCATGCATGTGGCATACAAACAAACATGCAGACAAAATAAAACAAACATCAAATGAATAAATTAAACCAACAGCAAAAAGCCTGGATGGCCTATCAGCTAGCTGTAATCACAGTACTCCAGACAGGAGAGGCAAACAAGAGATCCCTGGGCAAGCTGGCTAGTTCCAGGGTCAGCAAGAGACCCTGCCTCTGTAAATAGGGTGTGGTCCAGAAAAGATACATGACGTAAACTTCAGGCCTCCACTCGCATGTGCACACTTGTGTCCCACCTCCCCCAACACGCCCACAGGAAAGTGGCCAAAGAGTAATGCCTTGTTATCAGGTGGGCTTTACATCACACTTAGATGTGGTATAGGAAATAAACGCATACTTTATAAACAAATGCACTATAGCAGCTTGGGGAAAATTAACATGGTGGTGTTTTCTAATGTTAAAGATGAAACATCAGTATCGACCAATACCACATCAGAAGCTCTGTGGAAAACATTTGTGCTGGTTTATTTGAAACATTTCTTCATGAATTTGTATTTTGAAATATACTTTCATTGTGTAGGAGTCTGCTGAAATATAATACAGATTTATTAAGTTCTAGCTATTGCCTTCTTCAGCCACAAAGACATAGTACTGGTTGAATATAGTCACATAGTCTCAACACTTCCGTCCTCCCTGCTCTTTGGCTCTCTGCATTATCGTTTCTACACTTAAAAGCATCCCTGTAGTGTTCTTAAGAAAATACCGTGGGCCAGCAAAGGATGCCTGCTGCTGAGACTAAGCTTGGTCTCTAGACCCCAGACCGTGGAAGATAAGTACTAATTCCCATAAGTTTTCCTTTGACCTCCATACCTGCTCCCTGTGGATGGACACACAGACACATGTACACACTTTCACACTCACACCCACTAATAAGCATAAGTCTAAAAGTCAAGTGCTCATTCAGGGATATGTGAAAGGAAGCTTTCCCTATGTATTAGGGTTAATGAGGCAGAGTCACTGCTGTGGCTTTTATTAGTGACTTACCAGGAAAACAGTTGTTCTTTGGTATTCTGGGGGTCCTCTGCCCACTAGGGCAACAGAGCCCATGTGTTCTCAACTCCCATATGTAAGTGGCATAGTGTTTGTGTTTATCTTCCTTTCTTCACCCTCCCTCTTGTTTAAGTCACCAGAGGCTGCTGATAGCAGCTAATACAAAGTATCCATTTTTGGTATATGTGCAGTTTCCACCCCCAGTATTTTTGATCCCCAATTGCTTGAATTCATAGATTACAGAGAGAGCCAGCAACATTTTATTATGTGGGATACATTGCCCCCGTGGTTTTTTGTTTTGTTTTGTTTTTCATAATCATTTTCACATGTCACAATTACTTGATTTAAAAGCTAGTGGGAATTTGAATTAGCAGCTAATAATGAATTTCACAATTAAAAAAATATTACAATTTATTCACTTTGTATCCCAGCTGTAGCTCTTCCCTCATCTCCCAGTTCCATCTTCCCTCCTCGTCCTCCCCTATCTCTCTCCCCTAGTCCACTCATAGAAGTCCTCTTTCCCTACTGTCTGACCCTAGCCTATCAGGTCCCATCAGGACTGCCTGGATCCTCCTCCTTTGTGGGCTGACTAGGTCACCTTGCCAGGGAGAAGTGATCATCAAGGAGCAGGCAACTGAGTTCCTGTCAGACACTGTTTCTGCTCCCCTTACTAGGGAACCCACATGGAGACTGAGCTGCCTATGGGCTACATCTGAGCAGGGGGTTCTAGGTCCTCTCCATGCATGTGGTCCTTGGTTGATGCATCAGTCTCTGCAGTACCCTCGTGCCCAGATTTTTTGGCTTTGCTGGTCTCCTTGTGGGGCTCCTGTTCCCTCTGGGTCCTTCTATCTCCCCCTTCTTCCATAAGACTACCTGTGCTCTGTCCAAAGTTTGGCTCTGAATCTGCCTCTGCTTCGATACCCTGCTAGGTGGAGTCTTTTAGAGGACATCTGTGGTAGGGTCCCATCCTGTTCCCGCTCTTCCACCACTTCTGGTGTCTATCTTGTTTGCCTTCTGAATGGGAATATTGCCCTCATTTTTAAGGGGACTTTCAGGTATCAATTTTATGTAATTCCAAACTTAAGAAAAAAGTTGCAAAGCAATGTAAAGAGTTCACATGCAGAATGCTTACCATGTTCCTTTGCTGTTTATCTGCTTTTCAGCCTCTTCCCCTTCTCTGTCTCACCTGTGTACATATGTATACTCTTCTCTGGAATGATTTTGAGCACTTGTTATTTTTCAATTATATTTATTTGTGTTTGTGTGTGTGTAGGTCAGAGAACCACTTGGAGAAGTTGATTCTTTTCTTCTAGTAGATGAGTTCCTGGGATTAAAATCAGGTCACTAGACTTGGCAGCAAGCACCTTTATCCATTTTGCAATCTTAACTGACCCATTTTTTTTAAATTAATAAAGTTATTTGTTTAAAAAGCTACTTAAAAAATATATATGAATACTCTATCTGCATGTACTCTATCTGCCAGAAGAGGGCCTCAGATCACATTATGAGCCAGTGTGTGGTTGTTGGGAACTGAACTCATGACCTCTGGAAGAGCAGCCAGTGCTCTTAACCAATGAGCCATCTCTCTAGCCCTCATTTGTTATTAATAACATTGACTTTTCTTATGCGACCACCAACAGTTATCACAACAATTGTTTGTTTAAGATAGCACAGTGGGCAACACAGTTTTTGTTTTGTTTTGTTTTTAATAGTAAGTAGTTGTGGAACTTGGTGTTTGCTTAATAGCTGTAGCCAGATGCACAGGGCATACATAGCAAGTAGGCCAGGCTACTGTGCTTTCTCGGTTATTTCCTAGATGCAGCCTCAACCCTATGTGTGTCTCTCTTTGTCCATTAGGACTGCTTAGGTCTCTGTTTCATACTTGCTTATTCATCAGGCAGTGGTGGAGTCTACAGATGGTGAACCTGTTAAAATAGTCCTTGGCCTTCCCCGTGAGGGCAGAGCTATTTGTATAGTTACTTTGTTATTTGTGTAGTTATTTTGTATAGTTGGTCAGGGTCTAAGTAGCTTTGAGCTTTCTGTTTCTTTAGAGCACGCAGCAGCCATATCACCCTTATCCTGGATTTTGTTAAAGATGTTGACAGGAGGTGTGGGGCAGGACTGCTAAGTCACATACTGAAAAGTCAGAGTAGAGCTACCCTTGCCAGTGAAGGGCAAAGTTCAGCTAAACCCTGGGGTTGGGAGTGATTGTGCCTGTTTACTCAGCCCTCCTATCTGCCCCTTTGCTCTTAGTGCCTGGGAGGCGTGGCCACATGGACTGCAGGGAGGGGCATAGGAAGCAATCAGTGAGTGAATGGAAGGTTTGCTTCCCCGCCATTAAGGGCAGCTGTGAGTAATGCTGTAGCAGATGAGGAAATGGCAGCTGTCTTATCTTCCAAAGAGAATCCTTTAGCTGTTCCAGCTCTTCCTCATTCTCTGAGGACTTGGGGACAGTAACTGGCATCTTTGAAGTCACAAGCTTGCAGCTGGTTAGGAATTTTAGTAACTTTTAATTGTCAAGCATGCTATCTTTAAGGCTAATTCTCCACAAACCTTGTCAACCTACTCAAGCCTTTTATATGTTAGGGTTTTGTTTTGTTTTTAATCCTTTCAATTTAGGAAAATTCTAATCATGTTATCTCTTCCTGTGTAAATTTTTTTTAAAATCTAAAGCTTCCCATTCTCTCCCCCTTCCCCCACCCCCGCCCCTGCCCCATGCACTCACTTTTCAGATATGAGCTAGTTTATCCTGGAGCTAAATATGAGTGGCTGTGGCCTGGGAGACACAGAGGTAGATCACCCTAGCTTCTGTGTGCCAACATGGAAGCAGTTTCATGGAGCTTTTTAGTAGTAGAACAAAGAAGCTTCTTTCTTTTTAACTTTTCTTACCAAAAATTACCTCATTTTTGCCACCCCTTTAACATCTTTCTCACCTATTTGCTGTTTCTTTAAATAAAAACTGAATCCATATTATGGCACAGTGTAGCAAATTAAGATTATCTGTGCCCTTTTGTTATCAAATTTCTGTTTTTCTTTTCATTACAAGTCTTAGGCAGACTTCCTAACATCTTAGATTTTTTTTTTATACCTCCAGGGCCAGAGGTCACACAGAATTTGAGAATTAGAAGTTTCACATCCAGATAAACACCTACCGATGTCAGTGACCTTTAGCAGTCAGAACTCTTAGTAGACAGGAGAAGGCAGAACAGCGCTGAAACCTTGCTTTCATGGTAACACTGTAACTGCAGAGTTAGGTTCAGAAGATATTTCTTCCCCTTGATCTCACAATGGACACACTGAAGGCCAGTTTCTACTGGTGCTTCCTTACTTCCTCCATCATAGGGCTTACCGTCATCCCATATAGAACATCATTGAATTGGGTGCTTGAAGTATCTAGCAGGAATCAGCTGGGGAGAGTTCCCCAGCAGGAGTCCCAGGCAGAGCAGTGTCCCCTCGGTGAGGCTTCCCAGCGGAATAACAGTTGTAACGGAGGGAGGTAACCTCACCTGATCGGCCCTCACAGCCCCCTGGCAGGCGCTGACATCTGTCAGCTAGAGTTTCCAGTCAGCTTTCTCTCTGTGGATGAGCTTTCTGCAGCTGAACTTCTTTTTCTCCTTCTCCCTGGAGGCACCTTTCTGTCCTAGATCAGCAATAGTGGCATCTGTTGGCATACCTTTTAAAAACTTTTATTTATGTTTCTTTTATATTTTTCTCCCTCTTCCACCCAATCTCTTCCAACACCCCAACACCAGGTAGGAGAGAAAAAGGGCTAGTGGGCGAGGGAGACGTGTTCTGTTTCTTAGCTGCTTCCTGCTGTTTAGGGTTGTTGGGTTCCTTGGAGCCAGTCTAATCCTTGTTTCAGGAGATCTCTATCTAGTCTCACAACAGCAACCAGGAGCAGCAGCAGCCTTGTTCTTTCTCGGAGCTTCCACATGCTCTGGACTCTGGCATTTATTCTCTCCAGAGTCCTCAGATTTAAACTCTCTGCAGCTGGCAAAGAGCTCCTCTCAGAGCCTGCATGAAGCCAATAGTCTGCTGCTGTGGACCATCTGAATCAGTCCCACATCCCACACCTGGGACCAAAACAAATCCATGTTTATATCCACAACTGTCATCCATTAGAGATGCTTTACTTTCTAGTTGTTTTCAGGGAAGCTTTTTATTCTTGGGCTGGTTTTACTGTTCTTTTCTCTCCCTGTCAGAATTAGTAAGGCCATCTCCCTAGACACAGGGCCTTGGAGGACACCTTGAGACAGACATGTTTGGGTCTGAATCTTGGAGAGTCAGTGCTTCCAGTGCCTCAGAGCTCAAACAAAAATGACAGCTTATCCTTTTATTCTGTGTGGGTCTGGTGGCCTGGGCTGGTATATGTGAAACAGATGTTATGTTGGGATGTCTTCCTCAGTCACTTCTCCACCCTATTTTTTGAGGCAGGCTCTCTCACTGGATTGGGGCCAGCAGTTCCCCAGGGTGTGCCTGTCTTCACCCCACCCCCACTTCCCAGTACTGGAGCTATAGTTTTAACTGTTTACAGTTCAGAATTTTAATTTTTCCCCCTTTCTTGCAGTTGAAATGGATGCAGTCAGAACTAAATGTCGAAGAAGTGGTAAATGACAGGAGCTGGAAGGTAGGAAATAAAGTTGGTTCTCATAGAGAAATAGGGAAGAAACTGAACAAGCAAGGGGAGCCAGGGGAGAGGACAGGAAGTTCAGGCAGAACAGAGAACCCAACAAGTGGCTGAGGGCAGTGCCTGTGTGGAAGCATAACGGCTTTACAGGTATGCGGAAGACTCCGTGACGACTACAGAGTGGGACTGCATACATTCTTTGTATCTTATAACACTAATTATGGGCATATTGAGTTTTTACTGTAGTTAACAGAGAACTTTCAAAGAGGTTCTTTGTTAAATTTAGCCTTTTATGCAGTTACTTTTCACAAAACCAAAATTGCTAGCATTATTTTGCAATTGTGTCAGTTAATATTCATTGGGTCTTATTAAACGTGACTACACGGGTAACATTTAGTGGAGCGGAAACATCGGATAAGTAAGTTTCAGCAGAAGGAAGGAGCAGCCGAACTAAGCTCCACCATTCTCAGGCTGGAGCTCCTGCAGTGAAATATTAACTGCTGGGCACCGACTGACTTCTGGCATTTAATAACTGTTTAACCCCTCAGGAGCTTTTGTGCAGAAATAATTTGTTTCAGAGTTTTCATTAAAAAATTTTTTTTAATGTAATCATTAAGCTGAGATGGTGTTGGTATCTTGGTATATGACCTTCCGGCTTTCATATGCTTGTTCGGGTTTGTTAACTGTTTTTTAAAGTCATAAGTGAGGTCATCTTCTACCTACCTGTAGCCAGCTTATTTCTTGTGCCATTAAATAATTACATCCATCTTTAAAAAAAAAAAAAAAAAAAAGACACATTTGAAAGCCAGTCCAGGACTTTGGTACATGTGAAGTGTGGTAGAAAGAGCGAAACAATTTTGGATGTGCTATCCCAGGTACTATTCAATATGGTGGGATTAAATTCCCAGTAAACCTAAGTAAGTATCCAAGACACTAACAGTGGACTACACATAGGCATGGAGAGAGAGTATTCTGTGTATCATTAGCCCACAGAAAAGTCAAAATGTAGCCAGACATGGTGGCCTGTAACTCCAGCACTTGGGAGGCTAAAGCAGGAGGATTTTTAGTTTGAGGCCAGGCCAAGCTACATCGCAAGTTCAAGCCACAAAGGAAGACCCTATCTCTAAATGCAAATTCAAAACAAACACAGCTATTAAAAGGTATACAGTGAGCATCACCCTCATGCTGTGCAGTCTTCACGTGGAGGAGTGGGACATGCCTTCAGACATTCATGTCTGTCCTTATAGTGAGTTTTCCTCTGTTGACAAATAGAAGGATGCTATGTGTGTATGTTTTCCTTTAACATACATCAGAAATCTTCTCACATAAGAATGTTAACACTCCCTTATTCTTTTTAAACCATTATTCCTATGAAAACTTTATGTATTTAGTCATGGGACATTCTCTTGACATTTATGATATGTTGTTTCAATTTTTAGGAAGCAAGGTGAACAAGAAATATATAAATTCACATAGTTTAGCAGAAGACAGGTCCAGCCAGCAAATGGGTGCTGAAATTATCTAGTGAATGTTACCAAGGCATACATCATGCTTAATTTGGTATGCTAAAAAATTTACTGTTCCCGAAGCCTATTGACCTAGATAAAAAATGGTAACATTGTCCTGTCTGTTATCTGAATTCATACCCAGGCCTGACTTATACAGAGGACTGGATGACGTTGTTTCTGTTTGAATGTCTTAGGTGTTTAATGAACGCTGCCGAGTTCACTTCAAGCCTCCAAAGAATGAGTAGAGAGAGTGTTTTTTGAAAGACCCGGTCATCTCATCAGCTAACCATGACAGACGTCAGCAGTGTGGGCTTCTGAGGATGGTCTCTGAGGCAGCAGGTTAAGGCCTGTGGTTAATCCAGCCCCATTTAGCTAAGACCTCAAGTCTAATTCTCATAATTATAATCAATTGCTATTTTATACTGATTCTGTAAAAAATGTTTTGTAACTATTAAAATAATTTTCTGACTCTGTGTACTTATTTATTCAGCTTTGCAAGTTGAGACAGTCAGTTCTCTGAGAGTATGCACAGCTTCCATGTCATTATGCCAGCCTGAGTGTTACAGATTTGTTGGTGTGGAGGTGGACCTTTTTGGTCATAGATGAGTTTCTCTTTATCATTGTGGGTTTATTTTAAAGGAGCAGAATCAGACTGTCGAGGTGGTCAGTGGTTAGGAGCACTGGCTGCTCTTTCTGAGGACAAGTTTGATCCCAGCATCTACATGGCAGCTCACAACTGTAAGTCTAGTCCCAGGGCATCTGATGCCCTCTTCTGGCCTTCATGGGCACTAGGCAGATATGTGATGCACAGACATCATCTAGGCAAAATACTCATACTTATAAAATAAAAATAAAGGGGAAAAATAAAATGATAGAATCAGGTTGGATCCTATCCAACAAATTCTCTGATTGTTCTTTTTTAGCTAGGTGTGGTGACAAGTGGCTGAAATCTTATATTGTGGAGGGGCTGAGATGGGAGTATTACAAGTTTGAGGCCATCCTGGACTGCATAGTGAGCCGCTCTCTCCCAGAAGAAACATTTATCTTGAGCCAGGCTGTAATGGCACCTGGCTCCCTGAGATTCAGCACTTGGGAGGCACAGGCAGGTGGATCTCTTGAGTTTGAGGCCAGCCTGGTCTACATAGTGAGTTCCAGGACAGCCAGGGCTACACAGAGAAAACCTGTCCTGAAAGAAGAACATTTTCTTGTTTATATACAGAACTAATTTGGGTTGGGATTGTTTTCTAAGCAGTTTTCCATGACACAGAAAGGAAGCTTTAGAAAAGGGAGAGGGGCAAATGACCCTAGAACAAGAGCCCTTAGTTCCACCAGTGAAGGAAAGTAATGTGGACTGTGGGGGGTTAGCATTCTGCGGCACAGAGCAGATCATGATAGGTTAACTGGTTAAATGTGTCACACTAGCAATATTTGCTGTGTCACAGTCCTATGGTTCCAAAGTCCAGATGGGTTGGACTGCCTCGGGATGTGAAAGCTGAAATGCAGCTTAGAGTGAGACTCCTCCTCCTGAGCTCATTGCGCTTGGTTGGAATCTAGACTCCAATTGTAGAAGCCAAGTCCCTATGTACTTGCTGGCTGTGTGGTACCATTCTACTGGCGGCCACCTGTGTTTCTCAACACATGGTCGTTCACCTTCACACGAACATCGGTATGTTGAGTTTCCCGGTGCTGTCTTCTGACTTCTTTCCTGCTGCAAGCCAGACCAGCTGCATTCAAAGAGTTGTAATTGGCTCTGCCATGCTGCTGCTCTCCTTTATCCGACTCGGTTAATCACTACATCACTTTGCCATGTAATGTAGCAATCGCAGGTGCAATTGGGGAGGACATGTGTGGTGCCAGTTTGAATTCTGTTTGGTCGTGCTTTAAACTAAAGCCCATGTGGCTCTGGCTCCACTGGCGTCTGGTAGGCCTGAGCCTGCAGCAGGATGATCTTCATCAGATCATGCTCCTGGCAGTGAGTCATAGCAGTGCCTGCTTCAGTTCCCTGCTTCAGTGACAGAACTTTTTGTAGCATTCACTGTGGGTGTCTGTTGGGGATACTGATACATCCTTTTGGGACTGGGAGCATCAGTCAGGAGAGTGCTTACTTAATCCATACAAGGCTCTGGGTTTGATCCCCAGACCCTAGACCCCTCAGAAAAAGAGACCATGTGGTAGAACACACCTTTAGCCCCAGGCAGAGGTGAGTTCAAGGCCAGCTTGGTCTACAAAAAAAGTTACATATACCATTGTAGCCTTTTCTTTAAGAGTGCTCTATCTGCATGTACACCTATATGCCAGAAGAGGGCATCATATTCCTGTGTAGATGGTTGTGAGCCACCATGTGGTTGTTAGGAATTGAACTGGGGACCTCTGGAAGAGTAGACAGTGCTTCTAACCACTGAGCCATCTCTCCAGCCCCATCACCCCACCCCCATCCACACTATGTAGCCTTTTCTATGAGAAAATTTTGTCCTAAAAGACCATATTGGAAAAATCTTCTCTATAAGGTTGATCTGTAATAATTTTTAAAACACATGACATAAAAGGCTGGATAGAAGTGAAACCATAGCTAGGATCTTGATGGTGCCGTTCCTGAGGAAATTCATATTCTTGGCTGAGATCATAATGAACTTTCCAGACTGCCAGATATGTCATCAGAGTGCCTTCTAGGTAATCTAATCATGTTATGGTGCCTGAATTAATTCAGTGTGACATTAATTGAGCATTTATCTCAGTTTGGAATGAGTTAGTACAAATGAATACACAGCCTGTGTCAATAGCATTTAAAGCTTCGAGTTGAAAGATAGAATTCCTTTATCAGTTTTGAATGGTAGATTTACTCCTAGAAACCTAAAACCCCTGTCTGCAATCACTGCCTCACAACAAATTGATTTGCTGCTTTTACTTGAGAGGATTTAAAAACAGCATGCCAATGTTCAGAGATGAATTTGGCTTTTACTTGTCAGAGGAGAAAAAGGCAGGAAGAATAACCTTTATCAAGTTTTATGCAAAAAATAAAAAGCAGGAAGTCAGGGAAGTGAGTGGAGGGTGGATTGGAAATGACTGCTGGCTGGAAAACAATGTCCTTGCCTTTGAAAAGTCCGTTTAATTAGGGATTGAAGCATGGGGAGTACTGTAATGAAGGACGGTCTGTTATGTCATTCTGTGTAAGTTGTGCTTTGGAGCTATGTTAGAATGGAGTGGTTTGTGCTAGTGTCACGGCAGTAGTCTGCTAATACCCCACACATTCAGGAGTAACCTGTAAACAGGAGATTGAAGCCATCCCTTGGGTTAGAGGATCTAATCAAACATTAGAGCCAGACAGCTTTCTTGCGATCTCTGTATATATACTTACTTAGCCTAGCAGAACACTGTAAATTTCGCTGACTCTTTAAAAGAAATCATTCTAAAGATAAACATTTGAAAAAACCTAAGGAAAATGGAAAAATGATCATTTCCAGCAAGGCTGACTTTTATCTGTGTGGGGAAAAGGGAAGAAGAAAGAGATACTGAGTAAAAATGATGACTTAGGAAAGAAATACTTTGTGAAAAGTTGCGACTCAAGTTGTAATTTGGACTTCTATCTTCTTGGTAGTTTAATGAACCAAGTGTGTGGTGTGTGTGTGTTTGTGTGTAGGTGACTGTGTTCATGTGTGTCTTTAGATAGGATCTTAACTATATATGCCTTACTGCTGGCCTGTAACTCACTCTGTAGACCAGGTTGACTCTGCAACAGTGTGAGAAACTTGAATTGTTAGGCCCAAGGGGGGACCCTAACTTTTAGGAAGTAGATGAAGAGCACTCAGGATACCGAATTGATGCAATTGCCAAGAGGTTTATTTGAGCCATCATGCAGTGGGGTCACCCCTGCTGGTCAGCAAAGAGTGGCACTGGGAGATAAAGGCCTTGGGCTTTTAAAGGACAAGGGCGGGAATTTTCACGGGTTGCAGTCTTTGCAATTCAGGATTGGATGAGGAAGCTATAAGGTAAGATAATTGGTAAGTCTTCCAGTCCTGCTAAGTGTGGATGTGGCTGCAATTAAAGGTGGGGGTGGGGAATGATTAGCTCATCCTTGAAAATTGGGGCTAAGAGTTTTGGCTGGAGGTCAGAGGCTACTCAGAAGAAGGATTGAGGCCATCTGGGTTGGTTGCTAAGAAGCGCTATCTCGCAGACAAAGGTCTGGTCATTCTTTTTGCTGAGTGAAGGTGGTTGCTTGCTCGCTTTCTTATCTCTGTCCTCACAGATGGCCAGGGTCACATTCCTCCATTCTTTGCAAAAGTACTAAGAGGCTTTAGCTTAACCTGGGCCGAAAACTCAAAAATATAGGTTTTAGAAGACATATAGGTTACAAAGTTAGTCTGATCCTTTCAGAATGGCATCTGGGGCCTAGATGTTAGCATAGCAACAGTGTTCATTTTCTGATCTTGGTTGTTGGTTTCTGGCTGTGCAGGAGAATGTCCTTGTTAGTGGGAATGCACACTGCTGTTTGCACTAGTTGAGTGCCAGGAAGCATCTGTTGGTGGTGAGAAATCGCTGCCCCTGACTCTTCAAGAGTGAGGGGAAAGTGGGGAAGGGGGAAAGCACAGCTTTTCTGTAAGTTTAGGACTGTTTCAAAGCATGTCTTGTAAAATACCAGCTTAATTTTCAAGTAGGAAGGCAGATATGGCATGCTGGGTTCTGGGCAACCACAGGGTTGTGCGTGCCTGACAGCCACTGGTGCATGCCCCTGCCAGGAAGGAGGGCGGTCCTATCCTGTCTGCAATTGCAGGCAAGCCTTAGTTTCTATAAGGCTTCTGGTTGGTATCACTTATTGTGGAACCTCTGCTCTGAACCATTAACACTGTCCTCTCTTTGGCAGCACAAATATTAAAACTGGAATGATACAGAGATTAGCATGGCCCTTGCAGAAGGATAACATGCAAATTCATGAACCGTTCCGTATTTTAAAATAATCGTCTAGAAAGTAAAGGTCGATGCAATAATGAGTCATGATGGAAGAAGACAGTTATTTGAAGAATGCTTCTTTATTGATGGCCACATCTCTTTACAATGAGAAGACTTGGGTAAGTTTAGAATTTACTTTTTAGAAGTAGGTCAGGTCATCATCCCTGGTTTTGTCAGCCTGGTAACCACTAAGTTCAATATCGTGATCATGGACACTACGGAAGGCTTTCACATGAATGTAACGGCCACCCCCTACATGAATCTGAAAAACATAAAAGAAGAAAGAAAGCAGAAAAGGAAGGAAGAGAGGGAGGAAAGAAGGGAGGGAGGGAGGGAAGAAGGAAGGAAGGGAGGGAGGGACGGAGGGAGGGAGGGAGGGAGGGAGGAAGGGGTTATTAACATGGATATCCATTGTATGACACATCTTCTCTCTTGTAAAGATTTGATGTGGTAAGCTGTCCTGAAACCACACTTGTGGCCTAAGGCAGCATCAATGAACAAAGCTCCCATCAGCCCTAGTGTTAAGAGAAAGAGTAACTAACAGTATGGCAGGAGGCATATTTCCTAGGTTCATTTTTAATAGCTTTTAGAAAAAGATTTTAGTTAACTTATTTGTATGAACATGTGTCTTCAAGAGCATCACTTGCCTACAGGGCCTGGAGACCTTAGAAGAGGGTGTTAGGTCCCCTCAGACTGGAGTTAGAGATGGCTGTGAGCTGCCATGTGGGTGCTGGGACCCAACCCCAGGTCCTCTGCAAGAGCAGCCAGCACTCTTACCCACTGAGCCCTCTCTCCAACTGGAATTATTTTATTGTTCTTTTCATTAAATCCTGGGCACAAATTTTATTCCAGAATCACATTTTATTTCCATGATGCCTGGAACAGGAGCAGAGGGCAGCCTGTATTTTTGGTGAGTCTGCTTTCTGACTTTCAAGTTGGCAGGCTAAACCCAGAATTACTTGAGAAAGTATGGACTGTATGGTCCCCATACCTCTGATTTATTGGGATACTTTGTAAATGCCCAGCAGGTCGCCTCCTTTATAAAATAAAAGGAGCTTAGATGTCACAGGGGTGACACTCCCATCAGTAGTTTGGGCATGAACCCAGGTCCTAGAACATCAGGGTAAGAATAAGAACTGCCACTTTGTTCTTCATTGGAACAATAGAAGTTCTGTGTTATACAGTAGATATTATGGTCTGACAGTCCTTCCTCCCTTAATCTTAAAATGCTACTAATCAGTTCACCAATGTATATAACACTACAATGAGCACCATACAGCGAATGTGTGTGTGTGTGTGTGTGTGTGTGTGTGTGTGTGTGTGTGATCTCACTGACTTCTTACCGTAGGTCTGAAAAAAGTGTGACACTCTGGGTTTCAAAGCCTCCAGAAACAAATTAACAGAGAGTAATTTTCAGAAGCTGGGGAGGTTAGCCAGCAGAGTGCTGCCTAGCTTGCATGAAGCCTTGGGTCTGGAAAACCAGCACCTTATATGTAAGCCAGGTGGTGTGTGCCTCTCATCTCAGCACTCAGGAGGTGGAGGCAGGAGAACAGACATTCAAGGTCATGTTCAGTTATAATATGGAGTTTGAGTGTCAGAATAGCCTGATATACATGGGGACCCTGCCTCAAGACAACAGCAACCAAAACACCCTAACCATCAAAACAAGAACAACAAACCAAACAAATAAAAACACCAAACATTAAGGTGTAGTAATTTTTTTCCCCTGTAAATGCAGAGTCCAAATTCAAACCCAGATCTGTTGGATTCCAATGTCTACATCATGTTGTTTCTCTTGCTGGTTGGTTTGTTTTGAGGCAGGGTCTCCCTATGTAGCTCAGGCTCGGACTTGGGAATCCTGCCTTTTCTTCTGAGTGATGGGGTTACAGGTGCGTCCCTCTTCTCACTCCACAGTGTAACTTTTTAATAAAGCACTTGTTTCCTCCTGGGAAAAGAGCATCACTGCTGACCTTACCAGAGCTGGCACAGCCGTGGCTCCAGAAGGACATCTTGACTCTGTGCTTCCTATAGTGTGAGCTTCCAGAGTCATTTACATGTTGCAGGGATCACTTTTCTGACTGGTGCAAATGGCTTATTTTTGTTTCCTGGATTTTTCATGAGGATTGGATGAAGAGGGGAAGCCTGATTATAGAACAGTACCTGGTATGTCTAACTGTGTTGTGTTGTGGGTTCAGGGAAGGGTGTTAGGCTAAGGGGAGGAGATCTTGGGAGCTCACAGATTTTTGAACAAGTGTAAACAAGCTGAACAAGCAACCTAGGATGACCAAACACCAAGGCCCGTGGGCCTTCTTTCTACAACTCTCTCAGAAGGGACTCAAGATAGACAGAACATCCTCTCAGTAAGAACTCATATCTACAGTGTGGCTGAGAGCACACTGCAGCCTGCAGAAAGGAAGGAGGAAACCAAGTCCCATTGGGTGGATGGGTGGGAGCGAGCGTATTGCAATTAGGGGGTCAAGGTAAAAATTTTTCAAGACCATTTTCTAATGAGCTTTTGTAAGAAATACATGAGGGAATTAATATGAAGTGTATTTATTTGGATAATCAAACTTATTCAGACAATCTCAGTTCTGGTGGAAAATTTCCTCTCTTTGAACAAAATCTATTTTTTTCTGAAAACTTTCTTTTCCATCTGTGAAGAAAGATCATGGAAGGAAGCAGTTCCTCAGGACACACCTGGCTTTCATTCACATGTTTTTTTTTTTTTTTTTTTTTTTGTTTTTTTTTTCAGGCCTGGAACACAGCAGGGACTCCAATTTGATTGACCTTCCCTGGTCTGTCCCTCACACATATCCCAGTGTTGAAGTGGGCTCTTGCTGAGCTGGCTAGCTCTGTCATGGCATTTTACTTTTAATCACTACATTAAAAATTCATAGCTTAAGTTGTTAGTTACTTAAAGGAGGATATGAATAACATTGTGTCTTGGTCCAGTGTCCAAGCAGAATAGATAAAGGCACTTGAGTAGCTTTTATCTTTGGAATCAGGATGGTCATAACATAGATAGACATAAACACAGATCCTATTTATTATCTGCAGATGAATTTTTGAATTGGTTCCCTTGTCATCACAAGAATGTCAAAATAATTTTTTTCTATTAGAACTTAATCAGGGGCTGGAGAGGTGGCTGAGCAGTTAAGGGCGCTGGCTGCTCTTCCAGACATCCTGAGTTCAAATCTCAGCAACCACATGGTGGCTTACAATCATCTATAATGGGATCTGGTGCTCTGTTCTGTCATGCATTTGTACATGCAGACAATGCTCTCATATACAGAAATAAATAAATATATTAAAAAAAGAACTTAATCAGGACATTTAATTTAATTTTTTGATATGGCTATAAAAGTTGTTTAATTGTTTTTTTTTTTTTTTTTTTTTTTTAGAAATTATGTGTATTCCCGTGACTCTGTGTATGGGTGTGCCCATGTGGGGAGGGTCAGGCCTCTTACAGCTGTTGCTACAGCTGGTCGTGGGTCATCTGCAGTGGGTGCTGGGAGCTGAGCCTGGGACTTTGCAAGAGCAGCATTCAGTCGAGTTGTTTCTCCATCTCTTAAAATTTATTTTTAAAATACTCTAAGTATGGCTTTATACTATAGCTGGAGTGTCATGAGTTGGACCTGCTTTAGCTATAAAAAGATTTATTTGGGGGCTAGAGAGATGGCTCAGCAGCTAACAGCCCTTGATGCTCTTCCAGAGGTCCTGAGGTCAATTCCCAGCAACCACAAGCAGGCTCACAGCCATCTATAATGAGACCTGATGCCCTCTTCTGGAGTGCAGGTGTACATGCAAACAGATCACTTAGAAACAGAAATAAATACATTTTTTTAAAAGGAGTATTTAAGTTATATTAATAACTAAAGAAAAAAATGAACAAAAGAATAAATAAATACATAAGAATGACATAAAGCTACTTAGAAAAGAGTTCTTCTTTCAGATAACGATTGAAATCCTTAAGTGCATTTAACTTGAACACATATAAAATTAGGACAGTTTGAGGTGAAAAATGCTTTAAGACACTGTCTGGCCAACTCCCAAACCCTAAGACTTATGCAAGCACATAAGGAAGAAATGGCCGTGGCTGGAAGCCAAAGATGGTTAAACCATCTTTTTCTGTACAGTTTTAGAAATTAAAGACCACGAACAAAAGCTTTCTATATTCACAAGGAAAAGCAAGGTAAATATCCTATCACTGATGGATCAGGGAATCGCCTACTTGCAGGTGTCTTAGTTAAAGATAACTGCTAGGTTATCTTTAAATGAAGGTATAGTTGGGGCGACAGAACACATCACAGCAGTGCGTAACTGAGGACAGAGTCTAACCTTAATGAAGTAATTGATTCCAGCGACGACTTGTGTTTTATACTCGACAGCTTCATAGGTTTCATATTTCTCATTGGTTTGCTCTTCCAGCTGCGGTTTGATCTTATGAAGAGAGAGGGAGAGAATGCTTTTAAGCTGTGTTGGCTCCACTTAGCTGAGTTACAAACCTGGGAACCTCAGAGATGCTGATGAGCCTAGAATGGCAGCTCAAGCCTCTAAATCTGGAACTTGGAAGAGAGGGCAGTGGGAGCAATCTCACGGGTATCAGATCGGAGGAGTACAGAAAAATATCCCTCATGGACCAAGAGAATGTAGGCACGTTCTGATAAAGAAGGGAGGGTAGGTGCCTGGAGAACGCTGGTGTGGCTGAATGACAGGTTCTCCAGGGATGTGACATCAGAAGTGACTGGCCGGAAAGCTTAGGTTGGAGGGAGGAACATACATCTGTAGACGAGGTCAATGGGAGCCATGGCTTGCTAATGCCCAGGGTGTGCCCAGCTGTGCTGGTGAGGTATTGGTGAGGTGTTCCAGCCAATAAAATTCATGCTTAGTGTGTTAGCCTGGAATGCTGCTTCGGGGGTGAAGATGAGCATGCGCAGTGTACATACACATTTGCATGTATAATCATAGCCTTCGCTTCTAAAAATAACCCTTCAAATAACATTCCTTTCCCTCAGATAAACATACCTGAAATTCTCATGCAGTGGCTACTTGAACAGACAGTAAAAGATCACCCACTGCAATCTGGAACTGCTTCCGGACCCATCTGTTCATTTGGTCTTTCCTTGTACATGTTGTGGTTTTTCACACATGGGAATGTATTTGCCTCTTTACTTCCAGCTATTTTGAAAATGTTCCCAAGCTCATTTTATGAACTTGTTCCCTGCTTAGCAACTCAGATAGTGCTGTGTACATAACCAACCCCTCGCCACCCCCCCTTTTTTTTTTCAAGACAGGTTTTCTCTGTGTGTCCTTGGCTCTTCTAGAACTCACTTCATAGACCAGGCTGGCCTTGAACTCAGAGATCCCTAGTGCCAAGATTAAAGGTGTGCACCACTACCACCTGGCAATAATGTTCTCCACCATGTGGGTTTCAGCGCTGAGCCATCTTGCCACAGGATAATGTTATCTTAAGGACAAACTGTAGGAATAACTGTCTCCCTGAAAATCCTCACATCCTCCCAATCCCAAAGCCGCTGCTTGCCTTTCTGTGGGTTCAATTCCCAGGGACTGAAGGTGGCACTTCTCTGTGGTATGTGGGAACTTTTCCTCTTTCCTCCCTTCCTCCTCCCTGGTTGGGGGTCTGCTAACAGCCAACAGTTTTCTCTTTTTCTAAGACTATTTAACAGTATTGTTTTTTTGTTTTTTAGAAAATAAACATATACTTAAAATGTACAAAATAGAGGAGATTTTCTCTGGGACCCCTCAAATCATGCTCGAGATGCAGTACATCTTCTGTCCTGACACCGTGTGGAGACCCAACCGACTATAATCTTGATTTTACAAGGACTTTCTGAAGTATCTGTCTCCTGGTGTTCTTGCTGTGGTTGAGAAGATGCTTCCTAAAATACATAGTTTATGGCCTGCTTCTCTGCCTCCCAGCACTTAACTGGGAATTGTCCCCTCAGGCTGTCTCCTGCCAGAAGTGACAGAGGAGTGAAGTCTGAAAGTCAAGCCACCACACTGTCCTTGTTCCCTGAAGTCCTTTTAGGTCTTTAACCTATGATTAGGTTTGAAAGTGTTTAATTACCTTGTATTTCATGTTGTGCTCTAGATGTCTAGATTTCCTCTGCACTGTTAATTTTTGGGGCGTACAGGCCAGGTCTTATTGCCCTTGAGGTAGCTTCTATGGTTTGTAGCCTGACACCAGACACAAGACACCTAGGAGAGACTCAGGAAACACCCCTGTCACCAAATGGTTCATGGCTGGGCATCGTGAATACTGATTTAAACTCGAGGCCATGGCTTCCACAGAGGAGGCACGTTTGCTGCAGTCTCTCCTCTCATACCTGCAAAGCTCCCGGTGGAATGGGCAGGTTAATTTCCTAACTGGGTGACTCTCAAGCATTTCAAGTCTTGGTTTCATCATCTGAAAATAGGATGTATTGCCCTCCTTGCCTGCCTTGCAGCTTTGAAGATCAAATGGGAGGTGGGGCGAAGACAAGGCGAAGACTTTTAAAAGAGCAAAGTTCCTTCTCCGGGTGAGGCAACCCTGTTAATGTCCATTTCTCATTCTACTTTTCCAAAGCTGCAAAAACACACTTCTAAATTAATTTTATTCCCGGAGATGTGGCCCACAGATCGTGTTATCAGCAAGGTAAGCCCTTCCGGTAGCTTCCTAACTTTTAAAAATTATGTGATAAAAATGCATTGGACATATGTGTGTGTATCTATATCTACATATATATCTATATATCTCTATATATCTATATTTATATCTGAACATCTCAGGGGATTATTCAGGCAACGCACAAAGTAACTTTGCCTCATCTGTGCATATTTGTTTTTGAAATAATTTTTCTGCATGTGGTTTTAGTGAGTCCTTTTAGCTCTTTCTTCCTACAAATGAAATGGAGGTAACCTATTTGAAAACCCCATCTCCCCCAAGCTTCCTGGGATGCCAGATATCCAGTCCTACAGGAAAGGGAATCATGGGTAGAGCAACCACAGAACTTGAGAACCTGGATGAAATGTGGATGTGCGGGCCGTGTAGCCTGCATTTCACCTAGAGTGACTGCTGACTCATATGCACATCAAGCCTGAGAACGGCAGCTTGATGGGAGAAGCCAGATGAAGATGGAAAGATTCAATATTATCTTCCTCAAAAGTAAAGTGCCCAAGATATTTATTAAAATAAACCCACAAGTGAGAACTAGTTAGTATTTAGTCATTGAATAATAGGCCTGTGACAGCCTGTAAAATGTCCAGGGCCTTACACACGAAGGCTCCCATCTCTTTGACTCACATAGAGGCCTGTGGTTCCTGGCATAGTGGTGCATGTCTGTAATCCCAGCACTTAGAAGTTGAGGCAGGAGAAGTGCCATGAGTTTGAGGCCACCCTGGGTTACTTAAGTGCTAGACTAGCCAGGACTACATAGCAAGACCATGTCTCAAACAAACAAACAGCAAACCCAACTAATCTAGTCTGCCTGGGTGATGTGATGTTTCAGGGAGGAAAAACAAAGTGATATAAGAAAATAGGGTGACAGATTGCAAACTATGCCCATAATTTGCATGTGTTTCTCTGTTATAAAACATGCAGCACAGTACATTTTTAGCATATAGGTGATAGTTAAAGGAGATATATAGAACTTGCTAGAAACATTGAGTTCTATTTTGACTGCGATGGTATGGTGGCAAAGAATCTGGAATCAGTGCAGGAATCGCTAACAGTGTTATCTGCTGTCAACCTGAGATGTCCCTAACAACCTTAGATACTGGCTTCAAGTAGTGAGGTGGAAAACATTCCATTGGTTATGGAGCTCCTGGGGTCACACATGTAAGTAAAAGGTAAGTAAAAGCACAAATTCACCTTCAGCAAATGAGGAAACTGAGGCTGCAGTAAACAGTGTGACTTGGCCAATTTTACTATTGGAGTATTGAAATTTCTCTGAAAGGCTTAAGATTCCTCTTTAAGCTGTATAAAAGTCTGAACAAATCTCACACATTTCTGTTTTCTGTGGCTTCTCACACTGTTAACACAGGGCCAAATTATGAACCAAATTATGAAAGTTTGATTTGAGATCAAACTTTTTTCCTGAAGTGCAGCGACTCACCTTGTCAGCAATCTCCTGGATTTCTGGTGTGGCAGGTCTGGCTTCTGTCAAGCCTCCTGGTACCATTCTGGCAAGCTGCTTGTTTGCTAGGCAGGATGCTGAGAAGAAGTGATGAGGTAAGCTCAGAGACTCAGGGTTTTAAAGGTCCCTATAAATCTCCTCCTATGTATTACATCATTACCTTCCACAATAGTGGAGGGACTGAGGAAATGAGTGTGGCTTCAGGTAAGTCTTATTGCCTGCCATAGAGGAAATGCTGAGTGGGGTTGGGGGAAAATGAGGTGGGGGCAGTGAGCAAGTGGGCGAGCTCAGGAATCAGGTGTGGTTAGCATAGGTTCCTCCCTGCACCCTGTGTGCCAACTTTATCCTGTTGTGACAGATGAGAAACCAGTTTTCAAATATGTTAAACCTCAAAGAGGTTTTTTTCTTTCTCACTTACTAATTAATTTATTTACTTTAAATCCTGGTATGAATTTCCCCTCCCTCCTCTTCTCCCAGTCCCTTCCTCTCACCTATCCATCCCTCCACCGGTGCCCCCTCCCATGGTAATGAACCCACTTTGGCATGTCAAGCAGGACTGGGTTCATCTTCTTGTATTGAGGCTAGAAAGGCTGACCAGCTACGGGAAAGGGATCCAAAGGCAGGCAAAGAGTTCTTTAAGAAAATACTTAATAATGTCAAGGCTAGTTGCTTAGAATTCACCCAACCTCATAAGACAGTAAAACTGTGTATGGAGGACTTTTATTTCCAGGACTTTTATTTTTTATCCTCAAAGAATAAAATAGCAAACATCTTTATTTCTTCTGCTGCTGTTGATTCTCTCCCCCCCCCCCCTCTCTTAAGGAAGGGATTTCATCTGTAATCCCAACACTCAGGGTCTACAAAGGGAGTCCAGGACAGCCACAGATATACAGAGAAACCCTGTGAGGCTGGGTTGGCATTTGGTGTTGGAGGGGGAGGGAGATGAAAGGATTTCATGGATCCCAGGCTGGCCTGGAACTCACTATGAACCTTGAACTTCTGATTCTCCTGCCTCCACCTGAAGAGGGCTGGGATCATAGGCATGTGCCATACTCAGTTTATGTGGTGCTTGAGATTAAACGTAGGGCTTTGAGTGTGCCAGGCATGTCCTCTCCCAGATGGTCTACCTACCCACCCCAAGACAGGTAGATTTCTTTCACTCAGAACTCAGTGTTCTGTGTTATTTGCTTCATGATGCTTTTTGTAGTTTCTTCCTTCCTTTTTTCTTCCTTCCTTTCTTTTCTTCTTCTTTTGCCAAGATATTATTTAGCTCAAGCTGGCCTAGGATTTATTATATAGCCCAGAATAGCCCTGTGGTCTGGCTCTTCCAGAATGCTGATGTCAAAAGTGTATATCACCTATGGAAGAAGCCCCACCCCAGCCTTGTCATCCACAGACTTGAGTCCCATTGTGAGTTTTGTATCCCTCTAGGCCATTTTAATAATTTGTGGCTTACTTTTATCTTTCAGTTTTTATCAGATTGTGTGATAACCACATATTCTATGTTATACTATTTTTCTTTGTAATTGCATACACACACACAAGGAGGCCAGCAGTGTCAGATCCCCTGGAGATGGAGTTATAAATGAGCTGCCTGACATGGGTGCTGGGAACTGAACTCTGGTCTTCCGCATGTTACAAACTACTAAGCCATCTCTCCAGCCCTTGTGCTCTTTTTGTGAGTAGCATGTTTTTGAGTCTTCCCATATTGATACGCAGATAAATTAACCAAATTCCTTTAATGGCCCTTTCTTCTGTTTATTCTCTCTAACTTCGATATGCCACAGCACAGTTTAAACACTCAGCCCCCTGGTGAGAAGAATTTTGGGTGTTTTTAGATATGTGTATTTTACTTTTACTGTGATTTCTGTATGTGTTTCAAATGTGGCAGAACACAGTAAAAGAACAGACATCTCTGTCACTCAGGACTGAGCACATCTGTCCTCTTCTCTCTGGTGGAACTGCCCCAGCGGGCAGGGAATCAGTGGGCAGCAAGCCTCTGTCCCCTTGCTGTGGCCAATTCCGTGTTATTCTTAGCATCTCCCGCTTGACACCCAGCAACTCTTCTAAAGAGAAGCCGTCCCTTTTAAATGGTTGGGATATCAACTGATATTAACCTACTGACTATAATCTTACTGACTACAATGGAAGCAGAGGATCAGACATTCAAGGCCACTTGAATATATATATGAAATCCTTTCTAAAGCAAAGCAAAAAAAATATTAACTGGTAATTCACCTTTCTTTAGATTTACAGAACTCACAGTGTCTAGTAACCTGTATTTAACATGAGACTCTTATGCCTTTTCTTTTAATCCCATGCACCAGCTGACACAGCCTGTAGATTTCCATGAGGGTTGACTTATAGAAAAGAAATTCCCCTGTCTAAAAAGAAGTAAAGGGAACTTGGCTTGAGAGGCTGCTGTCTTTGAGATGATCTGATGCTTTGGAGAAGAAGGAAATAAAGCTCTGCACCCTGAATGATCCCGGACCCACTGTCAGACAGCCTCCCTACCCTGCTCTGTGTCTCCTGTGAGTTGGCCAAGACTGAGCTTTGGGGTTGACGGCCCCCCTCTGCTCTCATTTCCCTAAGCACTTTTCCTTGGGTAAGCCCTGGACTTCGCCTAGTAGCTCTGGTCACATAAACCTTGACCATTAAGCAATGAGGAGCCAGAACTTCAGGAACAGTTTGGACTTTGGCTCATGATTGCAGGGTTAGGCCATCCATCACAGCGTGGACAGCCTGGCAATGTGTGCATGAGGCAATTGGTCATGTGTCTGAAGTCAGGAGGCAGAGGAGGACCAGTGCTGGCTCTCAGCCAATCTTCTTCTTTTCTTTGGTCTAGGACCATGGAATGGTGTCATCCATATTTAGGATGGGTCTCCCACCTCAATTGACCCAGTGTAGAACTTTCTTCAGTGAGGTACCAGAGGTCTGTTCCAAAGGCCTTTCTAACCAAAGCCCATCAGATTGACAGAAGCAACTATCAGGATGGTCACCTAAGCAGAGTTCTAATAACTGATTCTCATTGGAGACAGAGCTTTGCTATTTCATGGCCCAGGCCTTTCTTCAACTCCCCATGCTCCCCACCTGGACCTTGAATTCACGATCCTCTTGAATCCACCTCTCACTTTCTGGGATTATAAGCATATTCCTCTGTGCCCAGTGCTAACATCTGCCAATTTTAAATAGCTTGTTCTTGGAAATATCTTTGCTGATATCAGACTTAGAAAATGATGCATTACAGTTGGGGATGTCCCTCAGTGGTAGAGCTCTTTGACAAGCTTGCTCAAGGCACTAGGTTCAATCCCCAATCCCACCAAGAGAAATTCTTCTTTCCCAAGGCAGATCATAGAATCCTACCTGTTACCTTGAAGACGGCCATAAAACCTAGAAACCTCATCCAAACCTTTTCCTGCCCTTTTGCGTAGGAGCTGTCTGTGACCAGGCTGCTTAACCTGCTTTGCTTCTAGTAGGTCATAAAACCTTCATTCTAGGAGGGGTTCTTCCCAGTACCATAGATAGACCAGGAATCTGAACAGACCAGCCCTGCTGGTTCTCCTACACAGTTTCTCACCAGTAGGCCATAAACCTCCTTGTCCAGTCACATGTGCAGTTAGCTGTCCATTTGGGGCCAAATAAAAACATTAAAAATAGACAGCTGTTCCTGGGTATTTGGGTCTTCATTTCCAAAGTTCCCTGTGTTTGTGTAAAACTTTGGTTCCATAAACCTGCCCTGCTGTCTTTTTTCTTGTTTTGTTTTGTTTCGTTTTGAGACAGGGTTGCTCTTTGTAGGCTAGGATGTCCTGGCCTCATTGTGTAGATCAGGCTGGCCTCAAACACTGAGACCTGTCTGCCTCTGCCTCCCAGAGTGCTGGAATTCCAGACATGCTCCCCTATGCTGTCACAGGAGTATGAACCTTAGAATGAAGAGGATGACTATTACCCTCTTACATGTCCTTATATGACAGATCATTAGGACAAGTCCTTTCCCACTGAGTCAAAAGTCTGAAATGCTTTGACAAACCTGTATTTTATTTTATTTCATTTTTTTGAGACAGATTTCACTGTGTAGCTCTGGGTGGCATGGAACTCTCTACACAGACCAGGCTAGCCTCGAACTCAGAGAGCTACACCTGCTTCTGCCTCTCAAGAGCTGAGATTAAAGGCATGTGCCACCACACCTGGTTGATGACCTTTGAGGGCCAACAGTTGTTTCTCTGTAGTTTTCCATACAATAAAGACAGTACAGTGAGAGTCAAGGCAGAGTCTCCTCCCAAGATTGTCAGAGGAAAGGGAGGTGGTTGAGAATAATGAAATATGAAAGATGAGCATCAATGGGGAATGAGAAAATGCTGTGGAACACTGTCTTCTTGGTGTGATGAGGTTACTGTACTCAAGGACTCACTGCACCTATGGTCAGCTACACAAGATCCCAGTGCCAGCGCTGACTGGCAAGGACACAAAGTGGGAAGAGAATGTTTTGGGGACATGGGGAACAAGGAAGTGTACTGGAGGGATATAATCAATGTTGTTTAAAAAACAAAAGAGTTGGGTGGTGTGTCCATGACTGTAATCCCAGCACTCTGGGAGGCAGAGGCAGGCAGATCTCTGTGAGTTCAAGGCCAGCCTGGTCTACAAAGGGAGTCCAGGACAGCCAAGGTACACAGAGAAACACAAAACCCCCCATATATACATATATATTATATATACAGATACAATGTGGAGGTACCACAGGAGAGCCAGGCAGGAGGCCAGACTCTGTAGCCACAAAGCTGCTGGAGTGACTTGGGTTTGAGGCCAATAAAATCTGGGCCAGAAGCCAGGGCTTTGGTTCTGAAGGGTTTTCTGAGTCTGGCCACAGCTGCAGCTTTGGTATCCCCTTGCATCATAAAACTGACTCACTATTTGGGTTGGTTTTAATATCATTTGGAATCTAGAAATTCCAGAGTCCTAGAAAGTCTGGACTTAATAACAGTTGGAATCACCGTGAGTAGAGAGGGTGCCCTGGAGAACTGCACTGATGGCCTTACCCACACCACCCCAACTGCTGGAAGAGGCTTCTAGGAGTCTGGATAAAGAGGGTGCAGCAGAAGGTA